TGCTGGTGTGTGGTGAGTGTGTGTGTGACTGTGTGATTGTGTGGTGTGTGAATGTGTGAGTGGTGTGTGTGTGGTGTGAGACTGGTTGTGTGTGTGTGAGATTGTGAGTGTGTGTGGTGTGTAGTATGCATGGTGTGTGCTGTGTGAGACTGAATGTGTGAGTGTGTGGTGTGTGTGAGTGTGTGCTACGTGTGAGACTGTGCTGTATGTGTGTGTGTGGAGTGTGCATGTGATGTGTGAGACTGTGTATGTGTGATGTGTGAGACTGAGTGTGTGCTGTGTGTGTGAGTGCACATGTGATGTGTGAGACTGTGACTGTGTGTGGTGTGTGAATTTGTGTGGTGTGTGGTGTGTGTAGTGTGTGCAGTATGTGTAAGTGTGTGGTATGTGTGTGTCTGTGGTGTGTGTGTGTGTGTGTGTAAGACTATGAATATGTGATGTGTGTGGTGTGTGGTGTGTGACTGGTATATGAGTGTGTGTGAGCCTGTATAAATATGTGATGTGCGTGGTGTGTGAGTATGTATGGGGTGTGGCATGGTGTGTGTGTAGTGTAGTGTATAAGCCTGTGTGAGTGTGTGTGATGTGTGAATGTGTGTGTTGTGTGAATGTGTATGGTGTGTGGTATGGTGAGTGAGATCGTGAATGTGAGATGTGTGTAGTGTGTGTGGTGTGGTGTGTGAACCTGTGTGAGTGTGTGTGTGGGGTGTGCATGTGGTGTGAATGTGTATGGTGTGTGGTATGGTGAGTGAGATCGTGAATGTGAGATGTGTGTAGTGTGTGTGGTGTGGTGTGTGAACCTGTGTGAGTGTGTGTGTGGGGTGTGCATGTGGTGTGAATGTGTATGGTGTGTGGTATGGTGAGTGAGACTATGAATGTGAGATGTGTGTGGTGTGTGTGTGTAGTGTGTGGTGTGTGAGTGTGTGTGGTGTATGTGTGGTATGTGTGAGACTGTGTGTGAATGTGTGTGTGGTATGTGTAGTATGGTGTGTGAGCCTGTGTGAGTGTGTGTGTGGTGTGTGAAACCGAATGTGTGAGTGTGTGTGGTGTGATGTGTGAGCCTGTGTGAGTGTGTGTGAGTCTGTGTGGTGTGGTGTGTGTCTGAGTGTGTGGTGTGTGTGTGGTGTGTGTTAGCCTGTCTGAGTGTGTGTGTTATGTGTGAGTGTGTGAGTGGGGTGTGGTGTGTGAGCCTGTGTGATGTGTGACGTGTGTGTGGTGTGTGTGTGTGAGTCTGTGTGATGTGTGTGTGGTGCGAGTGTGAGACTGTGTGTGAGCCTGTGTGATGTGTGAGGGTATGTGTGTATGCGTGCACAACTTCTTGCTGTTCACAACGATGAGGAGCTCTCTCTGAAGTGTGTGCTGGGAAACCCGGGACTCAGAATTGAACCCTTGCCGCAGACCTGATGTGTTCGTTTGGGGATGACTGAAGCATGACTGGTAGCACTCTTTTCCACATTTTCCTTCGTAATTACAATTTATAAAATACATCCGACAAGAAAAGCCTGGATCCTGAACCTCCTATGTCTGCAACATCAGACGTGCTCCTGTGTAGTGAACAGCCCTTCGCTGCGCTGACCAGGGACAGTGGTTGTAGGTTCCCTGAGCTCTGACTGCCATAGCAGCCCACCCCATCCCTCTGCCACTTGGAGGTGACAGGGACGGGCCCCGTGGAGGGGAGGTGTCCGGCTGACTGAGCAGAGATCCCCACGGCCACCTCTCTTCTGCTCCCCGCTCACCGCCTTTCACTCTTCCTCCCCACCTTCTCTGCCTCCTCCCCTGGGAAAAGGCGTCCGCTTGACCCTGGGCCCTGTCCACCTCTCCACCGCCCTCCTGCACTGTGTTTCTGCCAAGACCAACCTCCTCCATCACTGTCTTGGCCCATCTGTTCTTGCCCCACCCCCATTTCTGCTTGGAGGCCCAATGGTGGGATGCCACCCATCACCCCCTTGGGGAGGCCAGGTGCCTGCGGGGCCCCGTCCAGAGCCTTTCCCTCCGGCGTCCCCTGCAGCGCTCGGGAATCCCTCCTTCGACCCCTTCTCCAGCGGCATCCTGGGTTCCCCGTGCTGCGTTCAGCAGAGCCCTCGTGTCTCCTCCAGGCAGCCCTTAGGTAGGGCAACCGCATGACTGATCACACAGGCCAAGACACCCTTGAGAATGAGCGGGTCTCAGCTGAGAATGAGGCATCATCGGAACCTGTCCCAGTGACGGGAGCTGTGTGGTTGCCATCCCCAGAAGGCTCTGGGGAAGAGAAGTGGCGGGGAGTTCGGCAGGATGCAAGTGGGTAATCAGGGGGCTTGCTGAAGGCTGACCTTGAGCCGGGAGCTAGGCCTGGGTAGAGTCTCCCGTTGTCGGAGGCTGCAGTACAAGGCTGAAGGGGCCCCTCACTGAGAATTACCCAACTTTAACAGACCAGCAGGCATTCATTGTAGCGACCAGCTTGCTATTTTTCCTCCTCTTTGCTCTCTTTTAAGTGAACACAGTAGCCATCCTCTTCATGGTTGCTGAGTTCTTTAGATTTGCTATTTTCAATTACGTGTTATTTGTAAGCATGACCCACTCCCACAACTGGCTTTGGCTGAGAACCGTAACCCATGAAGCAAGACGAGCCTGGGAAGAGGGCCGCTGAGTCTGGCGTAACCAGGAAAGAGAACAAAGGCATTCCTGGCAGTTGTGGGGATCTCCAGTGCCCTGCCCATCTCCCTGTGTAATCCTGCTGAGCCCTTTGCTCAGGGAGACAGACATCTCGGAGAGGGATTCTGTCTCCGGGGGTCTCCATACTCCATAAACCCTCTGCTTCCCCACCTCAACCTGCTGTGATCACTGGCTGTTCACGACAGGCGGGCAGGACCTTGTCTTCCTACAACAACATGAGAAACGCAGGCTCACGTTCATGTGGGATGCGGTTATGTGAGAAGAAGGTCAGGGCATGCTTCGGGAGAGGCGGGAGAAGAGAGCCAACCAGGCAGGGAAGGCAGAGCTGGGGGTCAGGCCTGGGCCCCGGGCGCCCGTCACAGAGCCCGCCCTCTCGGGTAGAGGCGAACCCTCTGCTGCAGCCGCTTCCAGGCCCTTCTCAGCCCGGGGTTGCTCAGGATCAGCAGCACGGAGTGGCCAGAGGGGTAGGCCGCCATGATGACTTTGCACAGAGCGTTCCAGGGACTGCTGGGCTCAAAGATGTTGGACATGGAGAGAAACAGGGCGACCGCATTGAAGATGTAGAGGAGGAGGAAGGAGCTGATGGCTTTGATGGCTCCCACGTGGGCCTGCATGCTGGGGTCGCGGCAGCCGGTGGCCGTGCTTTTCATGTGTTGTGTGTGCTTCTTGAGGGAGGCGATGAGCAGGGTGGCTGCCAGGATGAAGATGCCAAGGGGAAGCAAGATGCTCAGGTTATACAGGAGGACCAGGCTGACCACGTTGGTCTCCGAGATGTACTTCTTCTCGGTGCAGTTGGAGGCGGGGACAGGGATGGAGCTATTGACGTACATGTTGAAAATGTCCTTGGAGAAGGGGAAGCTGAAGCAGAGGGCGAGGAGTAGGGACAGCCTCACGAGCCAAGGCATGAAGCCCAAGACCCTCCTCTTCATCATGAAAAACAAGGGGTGTGTGAAGTTGGCCACCCTGAGGCAGTAGAAGACGTTGAGCCAGGCCGCCAGCCACAGGTTGGTGTAGTTGAGGAACATGAGGACCACCTTGAAGAGCGTGTACACGGCGTTCTGGTTGTAAGCGCCCCGGAAGAATAGGCCGAGCGTGCTCTCCAGCAGCACCCAGACCTGCAGCAGGAGCCGCCAGACACTCAGCAGGAGCAGGATGAGGTCGCCGGCGGGCAGCCGCCTGCGCCTGGCCCACTCGGTGCCGTGCACGGCTGTGATAAAGCTGTTGCCAGCCACGCCCGCGATGCACTCGAGCCCGAACAGCACCAGGGGAAAGGTGACCCTCACTGAGGGCGTGTCCTCGTTCGTGGTGTCCGTGTTCACCGGTGCCATCCTCTGGGCCCCACGTCCGGGTTTCCGCGGTGAGAACGGTGCTGCCCCGCGGTCCTCTGAGCCCTGCTCGACCACCACCTCGGCCTTTTTCCTCTCCGTTAATGGTCATTTCAGTGCGTCTTCATTTGCGTGTCCCATGGCTGCACGCTGGAGGCCTGTGATGCAAATCGGGGCAGGATCTGGTTACTGGCCGGCCTCGCTTTGTCATGAAGACCCATTTGTCATGGGCTGGCAGGACCTCACTGAACGGGCTCCACACAGGCTGCTCGCGTGGCCCCTTCCTCGCTGGTTGAAGGCCACGGTCACGGCAAAGGACGAGAATCCCAGACTGGGAACCTTAGTGTCCCCCGGGCCTTCCTACCTGCCAAACAATCTGCCAGCGTCACCCGCCCCCGTGCCGCCCCAGCTTGTTTCGTCCGCTTGCTTTCTTGTCTCCGTCGTTTGTTGTCAGCGGTCAGCCAGTCGTCCCATGGAGACCCCATGCGGAATGGAACATGGCCCTGCCAGGTCCTGCTCCGCCCCACGACTGCCTGAGGGTCCGCGTTGTGATCCCGGGGATTTCACTGGCTGGGTTTTGGAAGCAGCTCTCCAGCCTTCTTCCTGTCTGCCCCAGTGGGAGCTCCCCCGGAACCTGTTCAGCATCCTCCCCACGTCCAAACCTCCACTGACAGATGGCGGTGGCCGCGCGGGACGTGCCTTGGCCGGGAATCGAACCCGGGTCTCCCGCATGGAAGGCGCGGGTCTCCTCCCGGAGCCTGTCTGTCCTCCCTGTCCTGCTTCCTCTCTCGTGAAACCAGCTGCTGTTGAGCCGCTCCCCACCCAGGGCAACCCCAGCGTGTCACAGTAGAACTGTGCGTTCTCACTGGTAATTTTCCGGAAGCAGGTTCTCAGGCCTTTCTTCCAAGGTACCTCTGGGCAGACTCCAACTTTCCACCTTTGGGTTAGCAGCTGAGTGTGCTAACGGGGCTGTGAGTAAGAAGCCTCCTCTAGCTCCCACTTGGAAATCACTGACTTAGAATCGAGTTTCTGGAGAGGCCGGCTCTTCCTGACGGCCTCATGTAGTACCCAGAGGAGCCCCAACTGATACCACGGGGGTTCATTAGGGACCAGAGCATCTCTGCTGTCATGGCTTTCAGGGCGTCCACACCACAACTCCAGCTTCCCAGGAGCCAGAGGCCTTTGGAGGCCAGGGTCAGGAGGGACAGCTGGTGGCTTCAGAACATTCTGAACTTGGTGGGAAGCATGACAGACGCTGTCACTTGAGGTCTGAGCTCCTGCTTCCCAGGTCCATGCACCCTGGGTGCTGGGCACCGGGTGGCACTTTAAGTCTATAGATGGCCAGGGTTTGTCCCACTCACTGAGCCAGGCCTGGGATGGGGCCTCGGCGCGCCTGCATTGATGGTCATATTGATGGTCATATTGATGGGATATATTGATGGGAGCCAGGGCCGAGAACCCAGGTCTCGGCAGGGACTGAGGACCTCGGCCCGGGTTTGCCCATTGGCTGTGTTTTATCCTGCTCGGCCTACTACTGGACAGTGTCCACTCACCGGGCTTGACTGCTCTTGGTATCACTGGCCAGCCTCTACAATTGAGGAGGTTGCCCATGAAACGACACTGTCTTCTCTGGAAGCATTGGGACACTGGGCAGCATCCGTCTGCATTTTTGCACGGTCACTTGGCTGCAGCCAAGGACTGGCAGCTCGTTTTCAACAAAACAGCCACTCCTCCCTTTGCCACAGGCCCACCAGCTCC